CTTTGTTCCCCATAGCACCTCTCCACCCTATACTCAAAACACCAAATATCAACCTTGCATCTACAATTTCGCTTTCTTTTCCCCCCTCTACACTATCCGCAACTTCACCATCATCCCCAGGAACTTTCTCTTCAACCAAGAAGCAAACCTGTCGAATGTCTCCTGGTGCTAATACAGGTCTCTCCAATTCCACATCTCCTCCATTTTCCTTTTCTGAATCAGATAGTACAATCTCCCAATTCAAGCTCGTAGCATTGAATCCTTTGGTCGTGGTCAAATGAACTAAAGTCAATGTAATAGGGTTATCTTCTGTGATGTTTTCTAATTGGGCTTCTAATGCATATTTCTTGGATGAAGAAGTATTGGTAGAGGTAGATTTTGGAAAAGGTAATGGTCCGATTTTGGTACGGACCACGAGACATCCTTTACAGATGAACTGATATAGTTTATGAAATGTGCGAGTACGCGGAGGAGAGGGCGGAGACGATTCGGTATATGTTACTGTAACAGCCAGAACATGAGAACCTTCTTCTTTGAGATCAAAATGAAGAACCTTCTGTAATGAACTCTGAGATATAATTTCTGCTTGCGGGGGTTGTTCCCCTGAGGCTGTAGAGACCTGTGGGGAAGACTCAGGACCGGAAAGAGGGAGCAATATCGGAGTTGGTGTGGAAGGAATCTTCATTTCCGCAGTGAGAGTAATATTTGATATTATTTTGGTGGTATTGGGCGAGTTTGAGATATCCGGAGAGGTATGGGTTTGAGCAGGTTGAGAAATAGGAGGAGGGAGCTCATTGTTAGCGCAAAGAGTACAACTGAATATCTCTCCTACATATGCAGATCCAAAAGCTGGAGGGAGTGTGAGACGAGGAGAGAGAATAAAGTTCGAAGGGGTGGGAGATGGATATGAGAGGGAGGCTGAAGGAGCGGGAAGGCTGAGATTTAAAGGTGGTGAAGGAGATGGTGTGGGAAGTGGATGTTGAATTGAAAGCGATGGACGGGAAAGTCTGTTGTAGCATTTAGTATTTAACACAACTTTTACAATCGAGCAGATTAGGTCGCAAGAGAGACCCAAATACTACATACCTTAAAACCTTCAAACTGACAGAATGTGGTTCTTTCACTCCGTCCAAGGTCGAGGTAGTTCGTTGATGCGACATATTAAAGGGTGTATACGTGTCTCGTGCTTATCTCAAGGAGACCATGGATCAATGCCTACTCACGCAACGAATACAACCGCCACGAGCGTTTTAGTTGTCTGTTGTAAGGATCCCGTTTTCAATTGTAGGTTTGAAGTCCAAATCATACAAGGTCTAGAATCGAACAAGGCTGAATGTCCAGACCAGACGCTCGATTATTACTGCCGTCTCCACCGCCTTCTTATCGCTGGTTCCTTACCTTATCGATACGCCGCGGCTAAAGTTTCACATCCTTTCACTCGTCATCACTTTTTTTTCTTACATTTTCACTCAAAATTACGAAAATCAATTCCCAAATCCCATAAGACCAATATTGCTCTATAAATCCCTGAAATAAAGATGGGCGACGCTGGTCCTTCGACACAGGAGACTTTTCAAAGGTCTACTCAAGGAATTCCATTAGCTCGCTCCACCGGACTTATGCTAATCCTCGATACTCCCAAGGTAATGACGATAGGTATCGATACCATATCCACGACACTCCCACCTCACACCTAACATAAACAACCATTTACACCAAATTGTAAATTCATTCTTCACAAATCAATTATCACTAATTCCCGTTCCAATAGGCCGAGGAGTATTTGCCTCTCAAGACATTCCCGCCCGTAGCGTGCTAGAAGTATGCCCTGTTTTAGTTTTAGATCCCAGTGAGAATGAAAATCACATAAAAAAGACGGAATTGTATCATTATACGTAGTGAGTTAGCCTGGTTGGACTTTTACATGTTAATACGAATCTACGTAGGTTCATTTGTGAACAAGTCTTGCTGATAAAGATGGTTTCTAGTAACTGGCCATATAAACCTAAGAGTCCTATTGAGGGCTCAAATGGGACGACAAAACCACCTACCACCACCCAAGCCGTGATACTTGGGCTAGGTAGTATGTTTAATCATTCAACATTACATCAAAATGTTGGATGGGAGAGAGATGTTCACAATCTCCTTATAACCTATACTGCACTAAGGGATATCAAAGAAGGAGAAGAATTATGCATCTCATACGGATCAAGGTTGACATTCAAGGACACTGAGGCAGATGCGCTGAATGAAGTTGAGGACGAGAATGAATTATTAAGTAGAATTGAGTTGATTGATTGACCATTACTTTCCCATTTTCAATGCGTAATGCTACCTATAATTGAGAATCTTTTCAATGTTCTTTTTGGAGAGACATGACCCTTCTGGGCCTGAATGCTCTCAATGTACTCCAAAAGATGTAAGTACAAGTAAGAAGTATCCATAATTTTCGTCATTCAAGACCTGGAGCAATTTAAGATTCTCATAAACACAAAAATTAAAAGATAGCATTTAAAATCCAGGTGGAGGTGGAACGGCACTATAGCCGTTATTGCTTCCTGGTGGTGGACCTGATGGTGGGGGAGGAGCCTATATTCTCAAGGTTAGTTTCTCTCAAACTATAATTTGACTGCCCCTTCCAGTCGGGGAGAAGGACAGTCTTGCAAACCTAACTTCTACAAAGGAACTCGGTTAGGAATATATGAAGTGAGGAAATAATATACATACCGATCCACCTGGTGGAGGTGGGGGTGCCTCGTTAGGAGGTGGAGGAGGGCCTGAGCCTGGAGCACCTTGTTGTTGCTGTTGATATTGAGCCATAGCTGCCATGTACTGTTGATAATATTGAACATATGCCTCATACCCACCATATTGAGCATAAGGATCAGCATTCGAACCATAATATTGAGCAGCTTGGGCTCCATAGTCTGCAGGGGTTGAAGGACTAGCTGCATTAGGAGTGTTGGGAGCTGGTGATTTGTTGTAGTTATTGTATCCACCACCGCCACCATACGAGTTAGACCTATCTGGGGCGCGATCACCGTAGCCTCGCTCTCCTGAATAACCAGTTTGACCGCCATAACTACGTTGTTGAGGTGGACGAGCCTTGAACTCTTCATATTGCTCTCGAACATTCTTGAGAAGATCCTCACAGAGCTCTTTGGCTTTTTGTACCTCATTCGGATCCGGGCCACTAGAAAAATGTCAACCAAGTGTCCGAGCAGAACTGAATTTACAAACTTACGCGACGTGAAGATACATATCTTCATCACTCTCACGACCGGTGCCATGTTCCATGAAACCAGAACCACGTCCCTTGATTTGGACACGACATCTAGTTTCCTGTTGGATGTGCTTTACGTAAGCTCCACCGTGGCCAACAACTTGAGCACGGAGGTTAAAGCCTTGAATGGGTTCAAAATCAATAGGAATCTTCTCCTCGGGCCATTTGCGCTAGAACTTTTGTTAGCAACCAAAATTCATGTTGTCTAGAACGAAACTTACTCTGCCAAATTCGTCTCTCTCAACTTGCTCAGGCTCGCGTCTACGGAACCGACGTTCGTCAACTAAGTTAGGGAGCTCCTGCTTCATTAGTTCTTCGATCTTTTGAACGGCTTGCTCGAGGCCTCGCTTTGTTTGACTTGTAACGTGGAGGTACAATGGGGGATTCTAAGTATATTATCAGCTCGCTTTCCTCAATATCTAAGTTCATGAATTGACTTACAGCAGCCGTAGCCATGCTTTTATCCGGGTAATAATTTCCTCGCGTGGTGACATCTTGAAAAGTCAATATTAAAATCTCTAAAACAAATGGTGAGTTGTAGGTATTGCGTACCAGCGCCGGTTTCTTCCTTAATCTAAATGTCACGCAGCGGAGGTTAGCAGATGCCAAAAGGGTGTATGTGTATGGTGCTATTCGCGCTTCAGGTAAGCTTGAAAATCTTCCCACACAATATGATTTTACTTTGAAAGGGGGTAGGAGGAAGTATAGAGATGATTCATGGCTAGACCTATGAAGAAAGCCTGATGTATCAGTGGAGTATAACACAAGGAGTATTTACCATCTTTTGAGTAGAACCTTTAGTCAGTGTATAACGGTTTCGCAAATCGTTGACTTCGATGTCTTTGATATAATCGCCATCTGCGATATACATCTCACCATTTATATTGCTTGCGCTGTTACCTGCTCCGGCTCCTGGAGATGCTGACTTTCCGACTGGACTTTCAGCTGCGCGAATAGGTGGCACATCGGCATGTTGAATACCTTTCTTAGCTTGGATTTGTGCATTGATTTTTGCAGCAGCGGCAGCTATAGTATTCAATTAGCATGTATTCATGTAACATAGTTCCAGGATGGGTATGTACCTGCTGCTGCAGCTGGATCTGCACCTCCTTTCTTTGCAGATTCCGGGGCCGGGCTACGAGAAGAATGACGGCCGAGGGGAGACCTGCTTCGTCTTGCATCTGCCTTTCTCGCAGGTGGTGATCGCGAACGTCTATCGAACCTTGAGGTTCTCTTCGGCTCAGGCTCCTTTTGATCGAAGCGCGAACGCTTTGCTGTGCGACGTTCAGTATCATCCATATTGATAATTAGTGAAGCTTGTAAAGGTTGAAGTAAATATTGTTTGTAGTAATGTGAGATGAGATAATGGGCCTCGAATTGTAAACAGATAACTGTCACAATTGATTGTAACAACTACTGGTACCCAGTAAATTTATGAGGCTGAACTTTATTTCGAGTTTTTGTGCTGTTTGTTCGGTGACAAGGATTTCGTGCACCGACATAAACTCCAAGACACTAAAATATCTGGGGTCGATACAAAGATCGGCGAATGCCGTATAGAAACAAATTCAACCTTTTTGTGCGGTATCGGGGCTTGCTTAAACCTAGACCGTCACTTCTTCTGAGTCAAATTGTTTAATCCTTCTCAGTTTTTTGAGATAGGAATACAACCGTTAATAATCTCTCAAGAAGTATTGGATAATTTGAATTATTCAATATGGCTTCACGCAGAGCTGTTCTCTCACTCTCTGGAGTGAGAGCAGCAATCCCTAAACGCAGCACTTCTATTACCCCTCGACAAATTCAAAGATATCAATCCTCTTCTACTTCAGCTCTAGAATATAAGGCACTTCACCGTCGCATCTCACCTCTTCCTACATCCGATGCTCCTCCAGCATGGTCAGCACAAGCAGCTGTTTCCAACATTCTCTACGAAACCCCCGCTCCCTCCGCCACTCCAGCAAAACGCCATGTCCTTAACTGTCTCGTACAAAACGAACCCGGTGTTCTATCCCGCGTTTCCGGTATTCTCGCAGCTCGTGGCTTTAACATTGACTCCTTGGTCGTTTGCTCTACTGAAGTCGAAGACTTGTCTCGCATGACAATTGTTTTGTCCGGTCAAGACGGTGTTGTTGAGCAAGCTCGTCGCCAATTGGAAGACTTGGTTCCAGTTTGGGCTGTTCTCGATTATACTACTTCACCCCTCGTACAGAGAGAATTACTTCTTGCGAAGATCAATCTCCTTGGTCCAGAATACTTCGAGGAATTGTTGGCGCATCACAGAGAAATTACTGCTAGTGATCCTGAAGCTTTGCAAGGTCAAGATGATTGGGCTACAAAGCGATTGGCAGAATTGAAGGATAGCGATGATTTCCACCCCGTCAAATTGGCCCAAAGTCAAGCTTTGAGACATAAGCATGAGCATTTGAAGTCGATCACATATTTCACACATCAATTTGGAGGCAAGGTCTTGGATATCAGCACACACAGCTGTATTGTCGAGGTGTAAGTTACCAAATGCTCGATTTGCGCGTGTAAATGTACTAATCATACGTTTTTAGCTCCGCTAAACCAAGTAGAATCGATTCATTCATGAAGTTGATTGCTCCATTCGGAATTCTCGAGTCTGCACGCACAGGTCTCATGGCTCTTCCTCGATCTCCATTATATGGTCCTAACGAACAGGACAACTTGGTGAAGGATGCTGAAGAAATTGTTGATGCAAGTACTTTACCTCCAGGATAGATTTGATGATATGTGGTTCAATGGATATGGAGTTGGCGTCACAAATTATCTAGAATAATGGAGGATAAGATTTATTTCTGCATGCAATTCTGTGTATCATTTATATATGAATAAAAATTAAAAATAAACGACGATGTTTCCAAACGCCAAATCAAAATGCGCCTAATGACCGCAGTTGTTAATACTGCTCCCAATCTATGATTTAACTCATACAATCTTGAGCATTTCGCTCCTCAAAGTCTAACATGAGCACCAATCCCTGAGCCCAAATACCAGATTGTCTCCGTCCATTGACCAAGTCGAAGACCAATTGTGCCCTTCGCATCTAATTTTAGAGTGCCACCTAATGCTCTCTCTACTGCGTCATATCCTACCCCATCAAAAGACCAGTCGACGGGCAATTTAGGCGATTCGCTTGCACCAGGGGGTACTGCGAAAGGATAGTCGTAAACAATTTTGCCAACTGTTTCGGTATGGTTATAAAATGCTTCAGCATCAATAGATTCAATGTAGATTGTGTTATGTCGTAAAGGTGAGAGTAATGTAAACTGTGCTGTTGATGAGAAGAGATGGAAAGTTGCATCATCAATGAAGTGCGGTTTCCCATCATTGGGACCCTTATCGTTCCCAGTCCCAGGCGTCGATAATCGAGGTGTAGGCATCGTGACTGCAAACTTGCTAAGTGCCTTTCCGAGTTTTGGTTGGTATGGAATTGATCCTTCATGAGTTTCGAAAGTAAGAGTCGTATTGAAACCAGAGACATATTGCGAAATTAATTCTCGACCAATTTTGCGCCCCTTTTCACCACCGAATGTCATGGGATCCCAAGTAGCTTCAACAAGAACATTCGTATTATTCCCTCGAGAGACACTGATATCGCGCACCGTAGCATCACCGATTATTGAGCCGTTATTCAAGATATGGATATTCACGTAAGGAATTCGAGCAGTGTATTCAGTTGGATTAGTGAAGTTGATTTTCGCTTGGAGATTGATTGATGTCCGCCCTGTGTTTGATATCTTCAAGTCGCCAACCTTGAGGTTGAGTTGGTGGAGATCACCGCCCGTAGAGATCGCTGCAATCCCGTCAGCTTCAGTGCAGTTGCGCTGAAATTAATAGGCCCCTAACGTTTCAAAGGAACAACTCCTTCCGCGGGTAAATCTTTAATAATGAAATCACCTAGCACAGTAGATATTTCAACTTCAACCAAAGCATCAATCTTGAGACTAACAGCCTTCCCACCCAGATAATAATCAGCCACGAGATCCCCAAATACATCCTCGTCTGTGATTTCTAGAGGCGCATTTTTGATATGTGATTCGATCTTCAAAGAAGCATCGCCTTTATCATTAACTCGTTTCGATCGAGCTTCCTGCCATTTTTGTAGGTTTAGCACACCTAACTTATCTCCCTTGTAAAATACATCGGCTTTCGCACGAACTTTCGAAACGTCAAGGCTAAAATTCATCTCCTTAGGCAAAGCTGCTAATACCATTATATCCCCAGAAATTCTTGGATTTGACTCGGGCGTTCCAGGCTCCGCAAAAGGTCCAGGTAAGCTGAAATCTGTGTTTGTGAGAGAGAAGTTCTTGATCAATTGATCGAATGTATGACCTGGGAAAGGTACTGGTACAGTGACACTTGATATAATTTGAGTGATCCAATCGGGAGTCTCTGGAGATGGTGCATTTGAACCTCGAACAAAAATGGTGGTGTCATTGCCGTGAATGTAGTCACTGAGAAGTAAATCCAGCGGCGAGGAATGTGAATTGGGGCAGGTTTGCAAAAGACTTTCAGGTAGATCTCGAACGATACCTGCGACGTCAAGGGTAACATCTGAATATGGCTCGATCATGATGTCATCAGTAGTGGCATCAGCGAGTTGAATATGTGGTTCGTCGGCAGCGCAATTCGAAACAAGTATATCGAATCGCATCGGAGGAATACTCAACCTTATTGGGTAGCCATTTACCAAGGATAGCGAGACTTCAGCAGCCATTCCACGATGGCCATCTTTGGAGAGAGGGATCTCCTTGAAGTTGAGACGAGTTATGTTATACTTGGGAATGGCTGGAATTTCATTGCCTATGGGTCAGTTAGCAACTTGATTTCAAAGTGCAAGTTTTACATTGAGAGAGAATCTAGGAAGTGGTGACTGCGCTCGCGGGCAATTTTTTGGATACACCTATAAACTATAGATCGTGTGTATATTGCCCGAAATCCAGCCACGAACTTCCTTCAACCGATACTTTTCTCCCCAAAGTACAATGACGCAAAAGAACGATAGAGAGATTGACCTTCAAAAATCATTGACTCGGATATACTCTGAGATCCAAGCGGAAGTAATCCTGACTTCAATGTGACATCGGCCTTGCCCAATACCCGCAACTGTCCCAAACGACCCTCTAACCAGTCGTTGGCAACCTGTCTTAATCCATCGACACTTCCTGCTTTAAGATCGGTAACGAAGTCGATTGGTGTGACAACACCATTTTGAATATTTACCACCACCTTGGGCACAACAGCGGTTCCGATGAGAAGATTATCATATTCCGGAAGATAGACCTCGACGTTCGATTCCTGACTTTCAACCTCTTTCGCGATCCATGTGCCAAATCTTCCAATATTCCTAACAGCATTGTTCTTGACCCTTGAAGCATCCATCTTAAAGTTTACTTGTACGCGAGCTTTCACTCCATTGGCGGTGAAGCTGTCTATTGAGAGGTTCGTAGGCTCGATAACAAGAGATTCTTTGGCATACTCTTCAATGATTGCAGGCGCGAAAAATGCACATATCAGAATGATGATGCCAGCCAAAAACAACATGGTGACGGCGAAAATCGTTGGCCATCGCAAACCTTCATTGGCAGGCTTGCCAGAGTCTCGATTATGGATAGAACGTAGAGATTCTGCCGCTGGCGATACGATTCGACCATCCTCATCTTCGGGTTCTTCGCCATCGTATCGAGGAGTATCATCAGAGTGCGCTAACAAGGGCGATGATTCGTGTGAGTCGTCAGAATTGTCCAAGTCCTGTGAATTGACAGAACGTTGAGAACGCTTCGACGATGGTCGTTGCTCTGGACTGAGCAGGAGTGGAGACCCCGCACTGTCCGACATGATGGAGATAAGGATAATTGATTAAGCTGGTGCCGGTATGTATCACTCGACGCACCGCGCGAGGATGGATCTAATGATATCAACAAAGTGATATTATGTTTGATATCCGGAAGATGATGAAAGTAATGTTTGAGGTGTCTCGAATATTGGAAGGCTGAGTGGGCGTCGTAAGTCTTGTATAGGTTCCTGGGGAGTGTAAGCAGCCGCCACACCGTGCGTTAGCTCAGAACGCCTTATATTAATTGATTGGGCCAACGTAGTAGTATATTTGTGCATGCATTGTGCCTTTGTACCTGAAAATTATGAATTGATGCCAACAACCTTGGAACCTTCCAAGGTTGTCAAATTCAAATGTCTCAGAAATATGTATACACTCGGAGGCACTGCTTCGACTGCACATGTACAGGATACACCATATCTTCATCCTATCTTTATATTTCACCAACAAGCAAGAACACGACACGTTCGTCCTACTTCGTATAGATCACATAACTGGGCCAGCGTTCTGGCCAATATTAGCCATGCCTAGGATCAAGTGTCTAGAAAATATTGTGTCAACAAGTATGTGATCACTATAGGATATCCTCAATTTCGGGCCAATCCTCACCTGAAATTTCGAACGATGAAGTACCTGGTGTGGTAGGTACAGTATATGGCCGAAATTCTGATGCTATATTCATTACCATGGTATCTGATGCAAGTGCAGAGTCCTCAGCAATAGAACAATGAACATTTACTCGTCCTTGGTTTTGTATTGCAGTGGAAGTCTGATTACATATAGTGAAACTACGCGGTCTAAGTGCAACGCGGTTGTTCAACAGGGGATATATCCTGAATGAACTCGGTTTCTGGTAGTTTCCAGAGCGATGTTCGAGGCCGTCGACTAATAAATTCCAAATCATGAAAGATATTCATAGGCTCCGCGGCAATGTCACGATAATCTCTGCAGATTTGTTCGCGGCTGTCATAGAATAGTCTTGCCTTTCCTAAAGTTTGTGGTGGTCTCATCAAGGATTTTATCAGTAATTTCTTCGAGTTCTAAAATTACTTCCATGAATGACTCCCATACTATTGCTCCTTAAAAACTCTCCGATTCTAGCTTTCTATTCACACATATTGAATGACCAATGGTTTAATGACAACATTAGTCACTGTGTAGACTCATTGTCTATTAATTTTATGACTCGCAACAACATCCATTGACTCTTCGGAGCACTCGAGTATACTTGAACACATACAAGCTATCCTAGTTCTACTTCCCTCGCTCTCCCCCGTACACAAACATACTACAATTCATCAAATCCACGCAACATAAAAACAAAACATCAAAGCTTACTTTATTGTATCTGCTGTCTCCTCTATCACGCCAATTTTTCTCTCGTCGATCAACATCTACCTCGATTTATCACGCTTCAATTTGCAGCAGGCATTAACCAATCAAGGTCTATCCCCACATTCCGTAGGATCAGTTCAGTAGGATCTACGTCTGCTTGATAGCTAATTCATTAGACTAACCAAGTAGTCATTAGAGACATAGAATATACTAGAAATCACAATACTCTCGTTCATAATTTCAAGGACCATATGCGATCTTACGATTCGAGAGGACCCGAGCATCCTGGGAGGGCATTAATTCCAGGGTGACGTCGAGAAGCTCAACTGAAATTCCTTCTTCGAATCATACAATCTTACAATTTAGAGCTTTGCCGCTACAAATTTACTGGCGACGTAGAGGTCTTAGATATCGAAATGATATGTACGAGAATATCAAATCGTTAGGAAATGATGGATATTTACCTACAGATATTGTCGAGTTAGCGGAGCGCCTTCAACGTGATGCTCGACCGACAAGAGGCATTTTTCGGCTGTTTCAATTCGCCTTCCAGGTGGTTACTGGCTCGGATCTCAACTTCAGTCAACCCTATAGGTGGTCCGATAAGATGGCCGCAACAAAACGCATCAATGGTCTAGACAGCAAGGTTTTGGATGATCATGATAAGGCCAGATATAATGCTCTCGTCGATTTGAAAAATCACTGTCAGCCAGATCGTGGCCAAAACGACAACGCAGACAGCTTGAAAGAACTACTTGATTGGGCAGAAAGAGACTTGAAAAATGCTAAGGGTAAGGGATCACCGCCCTCAGATCCTGCAACAACTGAAAAAGAAGCCGAAGAGCTCCGGAAGCGATTGAATGCTTACAAACGAGAGGATGCAGAGAGATTTAAGGCAGAATCAGGTACGATCTATAAAGGTGACACAGAATACTGCTAACCATATACAGAGCGCAACGCTCGTCGGCATTAAGTCTATGACGTCAGAAGACTTCTGGGGGATTAATGGAGCTCGAGGTTGATATTTTTTAGATGGTGGATGACTGGGATTCGACTTCTGCGTGACTTTGATAGTACTCCATAGCTAAATGGAAACTATCCTCAAGACCTCATTGCGATATTGTGAATTTTTCTATTGTTAGTAAACATTTTTAGTGACTCTACGTTCGAATGAGACTTGGCACTAAAATGCCGGCCGACTTTCATTTTTAAGCTTTGTGTTATACAACCTCGCGAATGATACTCAACCTTAAAGACTGATAGAGTATATTTTGTCTAAGAGGTAGATAGATGGGGGCCTAGATAGAGTAGAGGCTGGTGACCTAATAGATTTATGTAGAATGAGTAAATCACTAAGTGAAACGAGGTTTGGGGGGTAGCTGGCATACATAATTATCTTGAGCGAAGTTCTTTCACAAGCCAGTGAAACTCAAGATGTCCAATTTATATCATCATGTATAACAAACAAGATTCAAATTGCACAACGAGTCATCGAAGTGTCCCCAAGAGACCAGCAAAACGATATACTGGAAGAAATGATATTTTGCATTGTACCAAGTGCGATGGCCTTCGTAGACATCATGTCGCAAGGTCGCTTTAGCGAAGGGGCTAGGATGGATCACATGGAGTGGGGTAAATCTCACGTTTGCGCATCCATTTGATGTAGACACAAAACTAAAATACCTATTATGACAACGTATTGATCTTAGCGCCATGTTATCAAGGATTAGAATAACATCCAGTTTCAAAGCTTGCCTCTCGAACATCACCTTTCGTAACTACAGTTCTCTTCTTTCAAACCCGCCACCGTATCACCGAACAATCTCTTCATCACCGACCAAACCTCAACCCTTCGCTGTAGGGGAAGTACTTCATGGACAATCTGGCCGAACATATAAAATAGAAGTGCTGTGTGTTCATTGAGCAAGGTATACAAACACTCACAACCTCATTAATATTCCATCATTCCACAAATTACAAAGCTCATTTTTATATCCAGCGCAGAAGGAAAGAAATTCGTCATCAAGAACTGTCTCGAGGGTGATTTTCAATATCAACAAGAGCTTCAGCCACCACCTTTGGCTTCACATTCCAATTTACGGATATTCATAGATACTATTCCAGATTTCGAATTATTTGTTACGATTTTTTCAAGGACAATCTTGTTCAGTTCTGCCAGAGAAGTTTGTCTGAAGAGACTAGGAAGGGTATTTTGAAAGGGCTCTGACTAGACTAGCTGAGATGCATGATAAATTCATCATTTATGGAGATATGGATATCTTTTATGGTGTCCATCGTAAGAGTAATGGCATGGCTTAAGGGTCATGAATTAAAATCATACCTTGACAGATATCAAACTAAACAATATTCTCATTGACTATGAAGAAGCAGCCGACAAGCTTCTTCACATCAAAAGCGTCCGCGTCTCAGACCTAGAGAAATCTATTATCCTCTCTCCTGGTAAAGGAGTAATCGACGGTAAACTTGGTAATTAATTTTGGCGCGGTCCCGAATCTTGGTGTAAAGCAAAGCAAAGAATTTCTTCCGACATCTTTTCTATAGGCATAGTTGCCATATGCATTATGAATCAGCAGATGATATCGTATGATGGTCTGAAAAATGAGGATTTAGTCGATCGCGAAGCATGGAATCAGATTTTAATGCGGCAGATGTCAATTTTCTGGGACAAAGATGGCTATCTCGCGTTTCTAGATCACATCGGGAAGGATAATCCGTTTTTCGATCGTGGCAGCGATATGGTCAATGACTTTAAGGGTCCGATGACACCTGTACGGAAATGGTCGTATCTTGATGCAGAGTTTAGAGATGTGGTTATGAATCTGGCGAGGTTAGATCCTGAGAGTAGGCTCAGTGCAAGAGAGGCTTTAGAACATCCGTTCTTTGATGATGACAGTACATTTTAGTCGATAGCTAGCAATGAGATAGGAGTCAATCTCGGTATGAGGTTCAAAATAACATCATGAGAGTCTGTAGGAGGCTAAACGAATACTACGCAGGTACTGTCTGATTGATCGAATTCTTATAGATTTTTTCAGAAAGTTATGGAATAGAAATTTCTGGTCGTCTTGAAAAGTCTAGGTGATTGGTTTGGCTAGTCGGCCAGACTCAAGTGAGGACGTCATTACATTTCGCTCGAAATAAATGCTATAGAAAGGAGTATCATATGCCAAAAGAGACTTTGACTCCATCCCTGCTCTCCATCTGCAACTTATGCTGTTCCTCAAACCTCTCCTCAGGATCACGGTTCTCTAAACTCGTGAATGTTTTTGCAAACCTCACTAAAATATAAACACATTCATTGAGCACCATTTCTGTGCAGGACAAACTCGATCTCCCTTAGAGAACGGAATATACGCCCGAAGTTGCGCGGTTCCAAGCTTCTCCCATCTCTCTGGCCTAAATTTATCAGCATCCGCGCCCCATAGATCCTTATCCAAATGCATAGATCTAAATATGTAATTGACTTCGGTTCCACGAACAACTAATACTGGATCTTTTCCATCTAGTCCTCCTCCAGTAGGTAAGATGCAATCTTCGCCACATGATCGTATACTTCTTCCAGAAGGTGCAAGTATACGTAGACCTTTGGCATATTGAGTTAGCAACATCATCAACGCGACAATCATCTGATTGGTGAACTCACTTTCATTCACAATAGCCTTTGCATATCTCATCTGCTTTAACGACTCGTAGGTTAGAGGTCCGTCATAGTTCGACACCTCATTTTGAAGCCGATTCCACACTTCAGGATGCCTTGCCAAGTGGAAGAAGACGTTTCCAACAGCAATGGCAGTTTTATCTCGTGCTGGAAGAAAGATATTGAGCAAATGAGAACGGGGTGAAACACGGTCTTTTGTCGTTTTCAATAGCTCATCTAAGAGAGCAAGTCGTCTGTTTGAACTTGGGGAATTGGTAGGACTGGAAGGATCTTTCGCTTTCTCTATCGCTCTGTCGATTTGCTGGTCGACAAATGTGTAAATCTCGTCACGAGCCTTCTTCCAAGACCTGTCTAAGCTTTGCAGAAAAGCAAACTTTCCCAAAGCGACCCGCAAGCCGATGCCTTGCAAGATTGTGTCAAAAGCTGCGAGAAACCTCTCGGTGTCAAATCTACCTTTTCCCGGTTCTAAGATATTGATCGAATTACCAAAGATCAATTCCGTGGAGGTATCAAGAAACTATATGTGTCAGTTAGATTAACCAGATTTTCATTCTAGGCGCGTCATACAAGTCGTTTCAACAAGGGCAATAAGTCCACAGTAGTACCATCATGCGGTATCATAGCAATTAGGATATCCATACGCTCTGCTAGGACGTCTAGATTCGATATTTGTGCCCTTGCAAAGATCGATTTCGAGGCAAGGTGAGCTTGCTTCCATGATGAACCATCTGTATTAAAGATTCCTCGTCCTAAGAAGCATTCTGTAGCATACAGCCTAGAAGGCTCTACTATGAATTTCTTCTGCGACGTAACAAGGATGGTATGTATGTTTTCTGCATCCATTTTGTAGATGGCCTTCTGGCCCCAACTATTGGCTTCGAAGGTCTTGCCATGCTTATCAAACAAGGATTGGAAAAAAGCAAAGTTGTTTCCATTCGAGATACTCTTCACTACACCCACGAACAAATCGATGCCCCAAACAGGATCTTTGTGTGAGTAATGACGTGGTCTGGAACAGTTATGCTTCTGTCGAATTCGTTCCTGTCTTCTGCCCTGAACCAGCTTGCTGAAGAAATGAAGAACGATGATAGCAACTACAATGCATAAAGAAGTACCTTGGTTGAACTCCATGTTATGTATCGAAGATTGACCCAAGTAAAATTCTTCGAGATGAGGAGGCGCATTGGTCGGTATTTTGATTTTTGGGTCAGAGACCGTATAAAAAGTATCAAGTATGGACAGTGAGCTTGGAAAACCAAATGAATAAATATCAATATTCGTAAGAAGTAAGAAATAAGATCTCTTCTATATACTAAGATATAGTAGTGGCCCTGTGAAGTTTTGTCTCGGTCTCTTTTTCTGCTCGCCAACTTGAAGTGGTCATAACACCGAACCAACTGTTTGGTAAATGAGTCGTTCAGGACCAAATCGCTCAGAAATACTGACTATAAGCCCTGTACTTTTCCTGATGAAGGACTGTACGAAGATTCGTGGGGATGTATGAATGTACTATGACAAGTTGGTGACATATTCCATTTGGAATAGTCCAATAATTGAACTCACTGCACCAACACTATCCAACATGACCAACACCCCCCATCATTGATTACATTGCAATATTGCTGCAACATACTTATCTCGTAAGAATGATATGCCGACAGCAAACATCTACATTGAGTGTGTTGCATCGCGTTGAGTGGGACGCGGTCCTAATTTCAAAAGTGGAGTACTACGGAACGATCATCGCGGTCTTTATTTGCATCATATTTTACACTGATATACATATCAAAAAATCTTGTTACCCATTTTCAGGTATACCAATCCTATATAAATCCGGCATGATGGCATTTAGCTGCCTCTCATCTGGCTGCCATCTTCCTCTTATATCTCTCCACACCTCCACTGCCCTCGCCTGACCAGAGCATGTCGCGAAAGCCTTGAGCACATTCGTTACGATCCAAGTCGACATGTATATACCTTCCACACCTTGGTCGAGGGCTTTCAAATATGCTTTCCACACACTTTCCAATCTGGCACCCGTCCACTTCGTGTATCTAGTACCACCATGAATACAGAATCCCTTGAAAAGAGAGAGGAAAAGTGCACCGTGCAAGGGAACGTTGAAAAGGCCCATTTCTTCAAGAAACTTGGCCGCTTTATCTAGCTCGCCTTCTGTAACTGCAAAATGATTGACCAACAGCCTATACGTTTGAATATCCGGACAAACAATGGAGCTCTGTTGAGCTTTCGCTCGGCCTTCTGGATCATGCTTGAATTCCAACGCCATTCGTAACAACGCGCGCTTGACTTCTCTGCGATTCTTGAAATGCCTGTGCCATTCCTGTGTGCCCGAACGTTCCGCATGCATGATTTTCATTCGCTCATAGATATTTAGCGCAGCGCTTGGCTCGTATGACTTGATAAGAGCCGAGATCATTGCGTTGAGAACAACGGTATCGACAATTTCTCCAGCATTGACTAACGCTGCATATGCTGCTCGCGCTCCATCACCGTCGCCTTTCAGACCACAAGTAAATATCATGCTGACATAATGAAATCGGTTGTACTCGAAGCCCCTAGCTATCATTTCCTTGTAGATCATTTCGCCAAGGGTAAATTTGCCGGCTTTGCATGCGACATCATAAAGAACATTGAATGTTGCATAATTGCCTCTGACACCTGCGATGTGCTCCATTTCCCTCCACAGTTTCAAAGCACTTTCGACCTCTACATCTGTGGCCTTGGCAACGTATTTGGAAGCAAAAGAAATGGCACTTGTCCATTCCGAAACACTTAAAGGAATAGCTGTTGATTTCATATCGTCGACAACCGAGAAGTACCTGAGCATCGAGTGCTCGTCTTTCCTTTCTACGATACTCAAGTGGCGAAGTAACATATGTCTTAGGTTGGCTTCTAAATAAGGAACTCGAGGTTCTGGCAGTTCACGGTAGATTTGATATATATCTTCCGCCTCATGGGAGTAGAAATTCTTCAGTGCAGATTCCAGCTCTTTGAGCTTCTCTTTCGTTTCGTCATCGGCCGGCCATGCCTGATGAGCGGGTGGCCATTCATCTTCCTCTTCATCCAAAATTTGTAGGTGGGGAGCGTAACCTGGCTGGTGAAGGTCTGGAGATTCCATGACGGGTAATTGATGTGTATACGAAGTCCCATGGTACTGATCCACAAGCTCCATGAGCTCTTCTCGAGTCTGATTTGCCTCATTCGTGATCTTCTTTTCGTTCACCGCAGATTGTGTATTATATGTGTAATTTCGTCCCTGCGTATTGAGTTTGGTTGACCGCAGATCCTTCGTAGATATGTTAGGTCTGTGAGAAGTGAAAAAAGTTACCGGTTGTAAAGGCTTTGGGGTGTGTTTGTGGCAATGGCCTGCACTGGCAAGTGAGGAAATAAACCATGCTTCGAGTCCGACTGTACTTGAGACCATTTGTATAGGTTTCCTGAGATGATGTCGTCGGGAAGACTTCGTGGAAGCTTTTGGGATGTCAATTGGATATAAAAAGGAAAGAGCTTGTCGAGGGGCTGCTAGCTTCGAGATGAGGGTGCTGCTCGTCGAGGAGGAGATACAAGAGGAGGACATGAGCCGGCTGACATTTTGAGTTTTTGTCAACGTCTCTGAAAAGTCATTGGAGCCAGGCCAGCCCTCCAGTCCTTATCTGCCGTTGTGGTTGATTTGGGAGCTTGTGGGGGGTTGAGGATTGATATGTTGAAAACTTTAGGACTTATCGCCAAAATTTTGGAAATTTTGGCGGAGATTGCCGCCAGACTTCAAAAACCTATCAATATTTGCGACCCAGAACATCACCACCCCCGCAATATTGTTCATAGATTACTTTGAGATTGTAAGTTCGATATTTTGATTGAGTAAAATAGATCCTAACATTTCGAAAGTTCTGCGAGTATGAGGGGCCTCAATTTAAAGCCATCGCGCGTTTACCAAACGGCATCGGCATTACTCGCATCTGAAAGTATCTCCCAAGCACCACCATGGTATAAGACAATCGGCTCAGTACCCCCTTCTGAAATCCTTACACGGACGCAACCTGTTCAACACCGAGGAAGCAATGGCAGACCTAGGACGAAAAAAGCTAGCAAGCTATTCAAACCACAAACTATTGTATACGAGGAAGATCGAATAAGACAAGAATTCTTCCGTGATCATCCATGGGAGTTAGCAAGACCTAGAGTTGTGCTGGAAGACGATGGACGTGATGGGCAAAGATGTGATTGGAGTAGAATAGCACAGCCAGGAAGACCTTTGACCGGTGAAAGGTAAAATTGATTCTCAGGGTATTGCGACGTTTGGTTAACATTTCGACAGTGTGGTACAGAGGCAGCTTTGGCTGATACACAACACGCAAATGTCTAATAGTGAGGCTTATGATATAGCACGGAAGGAATTCTATGCTCTTCGTCAGGAAGAGGAGGTCGAACGAAGGATCGCGAAAGAGGAGGCAGAATACGTTGGAGCATACTTTCATAAAGGTGCTTTGGAGGTTGGAATGGAGCTGGAAGATAAGAGTTACGAGGACTGGAAGGCATGGGCTACCAAGGAAGTCGAGGCTGCGAACTTGCAACAACAAGGAGCATACACTGGCGTTGGCACCGAAAATGAGGACGCTGCTCTTTTGGATGATGCAGAGGCTGTTGAAGAGCCAGCAACAGCTGTCGCATGAAAATGCTCAATCTTACCAAAGGCATGTACAACAGCATTATAAGGGCAAAATTGGCGTTAATGAGCATAAAATTTACTGGGTGATGTTGGACTATAGTTTTAAAGGATCTATCAAAGGACATTGATAGATGCGGTAGGGCTAGTAGGTCACTGATATTCCTTTGTGTGGTGATTGTCTAGGCCCGTTGTACTGTTCATAATTGAGATTCCTCAACTTGGAAGGATAGCATATTACTGATGGTATTTTGGCGTTCTGCTAGTGTACCAAGAAACCCCTCCATTCCACCCTCTTCTGAGGATTATCCCCATTTATCTGTTTAGCAAGGCCTTCCCACTGAACGAGGAATCGATCATAAATACCTAGCCATAACAAAACTTTACCACTTAAGCTCAATGTCTTTACCCTTGCCCAACTTTCCACGTAAATCGTTTGCATCTTCCAAATTGGGGCCACCCCGAGAAATTTCAACAGGAAGCTTGCCATGACCACAAGAACGGCAGTAGCAGGACCATTTGTTACGATGATATCTGGATATTGCTGGTGTATTGTACTGGTCATCGAAATTTTGTGTAATGCCTTGAGACATCCCAGCATACACCAGAAGGATGATATGGGTGCAGTGTAAAGTGGTTGATGTATCTCCCTCGCTCTTGGAACAACTATGAGATCCCAGACCCCCGTGGTAGCATCAAACTCGCCAGCTTTGGTACATGGCGAAGAAGGTCGAAGCTTCGATTGTATACGCTCCTCGCAATCTTGAGCCTTGGTAGAAGAAAAGTTATCTCCCGCAGATATGATATATGTCCGGTGTTTGTATCTTGCTGCATCTGTATCGCGAAGAAGAGATACCATCTCTGCAGTATGACCACCAGAACCAAGAACTACCACCATATGAGAAGGCTCATCTTTACTTTTGACTGGAGGTTGTCGAGCATTTGGAGAGAACAGATAGAGAAGTCGAAGCTACATTGTTTCAAATCAGTGCATTGTTCTAGAATATTGGATATCATCTTACAAAGGCAGTGGTGATAATAATCAAGGCTGCTGCTGTGATCAGAGACAAGGCTGAAAGGTAAATCATGGCTGGAGCCCATGCGAGGCTGAAGGAGCTAAGTGGATGTTTCTGGGCCCTTCGAGGAGGGAGAGGATACGAAATAGTCTGGAATATGTGTATAGGAGTGTATGGTGTAAATTGGATGAATGTAGGGTCGAACTGAATAGATGAATGGGATGATTTGATGATATACGGCTCTCATATCATGAATTACCAACAGTATATGATATGATGTGAACTTGATCAGATTAATTTTGAATTATCATTATCATCATCATCATCGTCATTCTTCATCAGTATCAAATACGGTAAGCATTATTGTTGTCTCCTTCCTTTCCATCGATCAATACTGTCCCGAACCGAATCGGTTATTCCTATTGTGTGTATAAAGGCCGAAGCTAACATTTCGAGTAATCGTCTAGACTTGAACTTTAAAAAAATCACGCTCAACAACGCGACGCGATATTCAACCCCCCCTTCGGCATGATCTTCATCAGCCATGCAACTACAGCTTCACAAATTTCACAACTTTCAAATCATCAAGACAACTCACACTTTCATCAACTTACAAGCTACCAATCAAATTCACTTCATCAAAGATGTTTTTCAGCAAACGTTTAGTTTGTTTTTACTGTGGACGAAAGTCAAATCTAACATGGAATTCTCAAATCTCATATTTTGAATGTGAAACCTGTGAAGCCACCAATTATTTGGATAATAATGGCAATATTACAGATCCACCGTCGGCGGTCACTGGATCAAATTTGAATTTTCAGGATACCCAAGCAAACACCACTCAATCATCTATATTCTGCGAACGATGCTTGCGGAATCAACAATACCACTACGATGTCATGAGGCAGCTCAATGTCGAGCTTGACCCTGAACATCCAAATTACCAGGCTTCTGAAGAGAAGATCCGTGTTATCAAGAAAGACCTTGACAAGCGTTATCCAATGGTTTGCGAAAATTGCGCACCAAAGGCTCAGGAACAACGTGATAGAGCAGACAAATTCGCAAAATCTGACTGGCTTGGAAGGTTGAACGCTCTCAGCGAACGAATCAGAAGCCAAAAGACATGGAAGGATACCTTTCAGAATGTCATATATCAAACCCTCCTTTACCCAACTGCCTCAAAAATCTGGTACCTCGTTGTTATCGGACAGATGCTTGCTCTTGTTCTTGGCCTCTTTAATGTTACAGATATCCTGACCCAGACCTTGAACTTAATCCCCTTTTTAACGAACAACCTGACACTCAACATCATCTCTTTTTTGGCATCTAAGAGATGCTTTGGATGGAGCATATTTCACAACTTTTTGTCATGCGGCATGAACCCATTCTTCTCACGATGGTATCCAAGAGGAAATCCTAAACGTATCGCTGGCTTCTTCGACTGGTATGGATACCAAGTACTCTTGCAACTTGTCTTGCGAGTCATTCTATGCTCCACGTTCGAAAACGGACTTTTTGCACACCTTTCATCCCACATAACGATGATAGCCAATATTTGCACCATCTTCTTCAACTTTTTTATTGCATACGGATCACGTTTCTATCTTGGTCCTAAAAAAATTGCGCTCTGGAAATCAACCCCAGGCCCAATATACACACCATTGGCATTTCAGACCTCAGAAAAGTCCGGCAATGCATTGTCAGATGTTCTTGATGAAATCATGGCCTCAACACCAAAAGGCCATCATCGAACACCTTCACCACCAACACACCACTCTCAACGAAGCAGCCAGTACAATCAAGAACAGTCATATCAACATGATCGTCAGAGTCGCACATCTGGTTTTAACGAAAAGGCTTCCGCAAATACCTATGCTCGAAACTCCAATCAACGCCATGAAATTCCGAGACAAACGGATCTTCTTCTGAAAACTACCACCTCTGGCTTGAATCCAGTCGAGTTCAATCATTATCTAGCAACTGGTGAGTTGCCAGACTGGAAATTGCAAGAAGGCGAGGAGATGGATTGGGACCCTACCGTTACTCGTGTAAACCATGACTTCAACATTCGTCATCGTGCTCTGGACACGACATCCAACTATGAGACCCCCGTACAACACTTCGGTCAATCGCCATCCTCTTCGCAATCCCTCGCTCCATTTAACGGCCCTTCTCCATTTTATGGCAAATTACCAGCGGCTCCAATCAGTCCGGCTCATCGACTTCGCAATCCACCAAACAGACCAAGACTTGAAGCGCCATCTGCCCAGAGAAAGGAAAATTTCTTCAACAGCATGACCCAAAAGCAGACTTTTGGCCAGACGAACAATAATCGCCATGAGATTCAGATTGCGAATCCAAAACTTCATGTCCCAGAACCTAAAGCGTACCAATTGGACGATGGTTTTGAAGAGGCTTTTGGTAAATTTTCGCTCAAAGAAAGTGAGGATTTGCCCACTCAAGAACTCGGAAAACTGAGCTTTGGGAAGGCTCTAGGGTTGAGCTTATTGCTCGGCGGATTGGCGGTGGGCGCAGGAGCTTACTATAGCTCCAATTCCTCATCGCAAGACGAGGTTTCCTCGTCACTTGAAGCAATGACAATTGAAAACACCTCCACTATGTAGGTGGGGAACTTCCTCCATGGGTTTTTCCATGGGGCACGTAAGGACCCTGAGATTGTCATTGATTCACTTGACTTGGAACATCTTGTCTTGCGGTGGGGACTCGGGGACTGGAGGATCGGGATTATTAATGGACTTGGACTGGAGTTTTAGTCTTATTGTATAGATTGATTTGGGATTTGGCTTTGGAACTGGGTTGGAAATTAGCATGGTGGTTTTATGGCTTGTATTGAAAGACTTCACGGATTATGAATTATGATTAAGATACCCTGTATAGATAACCTACTTATTAGAAATAGAACAATAACTCGATTAATGATTATACTTTTTAGTGCTGAACGTTGAAAGTGATTATGCAACACCATTGATGATTTGGCAAGTATTGGAAAGTTTCCCAGCTTTTCAACATTTCAACATTGAGTCCTTATTTTTCATCCAGGCAAACTTCCATGAGGTCACTCGTGGCTCCAGAAAAAAAACCACATGGTATGTAGTTGCTTCCACTTAACATTCATACCATAATCAAACCTCTTTCCTCCAGCAACATTTCCCCCGCTCTGCAGATGATTTTGACTACTTCTCATCAGCTTTCTCAACACAACAACCATTTGGAACGCAATGGCGACATCACCAATCCCCCTCTCTTTCAACCACTAAGTCTGATATAAATTCTGGTACCCCCAAAGAGATAAACAATCTATTCATCTTTCATGATTGCTGTTTGAGACAGCGGATTATCAACACCATGGGTATTTCTGGCCCAAACTATCGCAAGCCTCTATATGATGAAAGCAAGGTATCAATTCCTTCTCCTGGCTCCTTTGACAATTTCCTATGGACTTTTCCCCTCAGGTTCGATTCTATTACGATCATTGTGAGGCCGCTGTTCGTTTTGGATGAGCCTGGAAATTTATGGATTCAGCATAACGGTTTTGATCTTTTGTACATGAGTGTGTACTAGGTAATCTTTGACTCGAATGATGAAAAGCAATTTTCTTCTACCATCGACCTTTAAGTCACCATTAAACTCTCGGTATGGAACAGCAACCGTCTTCAGATCAAGTGGTGATTTTTCGGCTTTCGTAGCCACCAAGAAACGTTCAAAGTACGGACAGAAAAAGTCAGGCAATACCATTGGTACTATGCCATTGTCCAAGGAACTCGAGTTTCAACAATATTTTTTCAGACTTCTCTTTACAGAATTCAACGAAACTACAAAATCAACAGCGTTGCGGACATCTGACCCACAAATTTCTCCTTCGAGAAGGGCGTGAGGTTTCAAGAAGAAAAGTCACGAACTTACAGTATGGGGAAAATGGTTAGATTGAGTGGTTAAGACATGAGAGATACCAACCAAAGAATTGGGAATACTTAGCACGGAATTGCTTTTTAACTTAAACCTCAAGCTTTCTTTCGGAAGGGACGATTCAATTTGACACTTTTTGATTTACAGACCATCCAGACTGATACGGCATACCGCCGATCCTGATGTTTCGACACAGACAATATCATAGGCAATCGACTCACCTTTCTGCAACCCTAAATTTAAATGCAAGTAATCATTCCTCCTCATCCCCATTCATCATAAATAACTTATAAGCTTTGGTATTTAGCACCGTCCTACTTGTTGTTTCCTTACAGAAATAAGCTTCATACAGAGACAAAGCCTAGAATGTGTCTCAAATCATCCGCGATTTCTAACTGGCACCCACTGACACCGGGCACTCCGCTATTGTGAATCAGCCCAATATCAAATGCAACCGCCACTCTTCAAATCATTAGGAATTCTCAGTTTAATTCTCAAGAGGAAACTTTATACATGCTGGGAGAGGAGGCTTGAGCAAGAAAAAGAAAAGGGAGAACGCGGATAACAGTATTGCATATTTCTAGAACCTCGTGGAGCCTCCACGAGATATCCAGACTGAGACAAGTGCACCCTTGGAGGTAAGTGAAAAGGCTTGATCGGGGAATTTCACGGTTGTTTCCGAGAATGATGCCTACTGCAAGCTTGATAGCATCTCACCACGCTTCAGGAAAATGACTGCACAAAAGTCCCAGTAGTTACTATGTCCGCAGAAACATGGGACTTGGGAGAATAAACTCTGAACTCTCGGTCAACCGCATCTGCTTGTGCGAATAAGGAGAGCCATTAAACTTCTTCCTTCGGCAAGTTCTTCCGCTATCCGCAAAAATCATATCACCAATAGGACCCTTCTCGTCAGTGATGCTACCATTGACAGCAACCTTTTCTCGCCAGGAAGCTTGTTTTCTCAAAGGCTGGTAAATATCGAAAAGTTAAATGCTTAATCTGAAAACCTTTTTTTACCACCGTTTTGAACAACCAGATTGTAATGCTGACAAGAGAACCCCCAAGTGAAACATTTCGAACATACCCTCTGGTTTTCCCGAGATAAGAGTCAAACAAGAAGCATGATGGATGGGGTATTCAAT